TGCAGGCATCCTGGTAGTGCAGTGGTTAAGAGCTTGGCTGCTAACCAAAAAGTTGGCAGTTCAAATCCACCAGCCACTCCTTGGAAACCCTATGGGGCAGTTTTACTCTGCCCTAAAGCGTGACTATGAGTCGGAATCGACTTGATAGCAACGGTTTTTTTGTTGTCGTTGTTGTTTAGAGCACAATGCAATCTTCTTGCTTTGTACTCAAGTATTTCTTACGTATTTATGGTATGTGGTTATTATATAAGGGATTATTGTAAAAAATTCTTGGTAAAAAGAAAGTGCTGTCAATCTGTAATTAAATATAAGAAGAATTCTGTAAATGGTTTAAACATAGATCATGTATATCACTGAAAAAATTCAAAGAAATATACAAATCATTTTGTTTTAGAATTTTATTGAATCAAAGATTGCTTCAAATAAATGATCTACTGACTCTTTTGCTGAAATATTGATCCTGAAATTAAGTATTGGCAAAAAGTATTTTAGGAGTCTTGCGGAGACTTCTTCTATCAGAAAGAATTAGAATTTTCGCTTTAGCTGAACCTGAAATTGTTTATAGTTATACTTTTAACTTCCCCAATTGTCCTTTGAAAGCCTTTTGTAGTGCGCACACTCGAACTTGTCTGGGAGTCAGTGCAATGAATGGGGCTGCTCTGGGGATAACACTCAGGGAGTGTTCTTAAAAATTGTTTTTCCATGCCATTGCTTTCAGCTAGCAAATATACAGTTGATACAGGATGGAGGCATCTTTACCCAAAAAAGGAAATACGCTAAAAAACATACATCAGGAAATGCAGATTTAGAAAGCAGATAGTTTGGAGACATATGTAGAAACTTCCTTCCACGATGGTCTTATGTTTACACTTTATCGCTAAGGCTGACGTTTCATGTTTTAGGGTCACTGCAGAGTAGGGTTCTTCCTCTCTTGTACCTTCTACACCCCTCTTTCATAGGACTTAACTCATCATGTTGATGCTATTTGTGTAACTGTTGGTCTCCCTTTCCTTGCCATTGCCCTAGACTTTGAGTTCCTTGGGGCCAGTAACTATCTCCAGTACCCAGTTTTCTGTTATCCGAACCTGACTGAAATTAACAAAAAAATTTTACTTGAGCAACAAGAAAATCATACCACAAAGGGTAAATAGTAAGTGATGGCTTTGTGGCTCTCAATGACCCAATGACAACAACTAGCACTACCATTTGCCAGGCCTGTTTGAACCACTTCATGTGTGTTAATTCATGCAGTACTCACGATGGGCCTTCACCCCAATTTAGAGATAAGGAAACTAAAA